TCTGACTAAACTTTATTGTAAACACAGCAATCACTTAGAAACATTATTTATGTTAGAGAGCGGAGAAACATGCGTAATTTTTACAATGTAAAGTGACAACTTTAATAGATAAAAGTTGTAGCGTTTCTTTTAACGAATACAATGATGTATGATATAACGACATTATTTTACAAATTATACAAATTATTTTGATTTAAAGTTTTACGGGCGATTATTATCTTTTCAGTTTCGGCCCTGCGGTGTGGCTAACTTCCAACTTTCGCGTTGACGATTGAAGTGTAATGTTTTCATCTGATCATAGTACTCTTGTCAATGTCAAAGTCGGAAGTTGGCCACATCGCAGGACCGAAATTGAAAAAGTAGTAATCGCCCACAAAACTTTAAACCAAAATAACTCTTATAATTCGTAAGATAATTTCGTTATATCATACATCGTTGTATTCGTTAAAAAGAGCGCTACAACTCTTATAATATTAAAATTGTCACTTTACCATGTAAAAATTAATCATGTCTTTCCGCTCTCTAACATAGATAATATTTCTAAGTGATCACTGTGCTTACAATAAAGTTTACTCAAAGCCGTTTAATTTGACATTATATTTATTAGGTCTATCTCTGTTAATTTACGAGATAAAAGGAGTAGCCACTTATATGAGAACACCCTATGTATATATAATATATACATATACATATATATATATATATATATATATATATATATATATATATATCTATTATACAATGTGCATTTTTTATTTGTTCATTAGTGCAGTGGCCTTAGAAATATTAGCTATAAAATATTAGCAATTGCTGAATTAACATAGAAAGAATTATAATGAGGTCAAAAATAACAAATATATCAACTAGTATTTGACATCAATTATTTATTCACTCATCGGCGTCGATTCAATGTCGATTTGACTAATCATTTCTGACTTGGAAAGAGACTCTCTAAAAGTGAATCAGAAGGATCATTGATTTTCAGTGTATATCATTTTCTAGTAGCATACTTAGAACTGTGATGAACAGTGAATATTTCAATGTTCTTTTGTGATAATATACTGATTCAAACAGTGAATATCGCTGAAAGACAGTAAGTTTCACTATCAAACAATTTTGAGAACCAAAATTCACTGTCTTCCAGTGAAATTTACTGTTTGAATCAGTATATTATCACTGAAACAATATTGAGGTACTCATTGTTTATCACAGTTCTAAGTATGCCACTGGAAAATGATCTACACTGAAAGTTAGAGATCCCACTGATTCACTTTTAGAGAGGATAGAGATGACTTTCAAACAAATATCGCCGACATGCGAAGGAAATGTAAATACAACTTACCCTGGCCCAGGATAGTAATAGGGTGGCGGTCGTTCGTATTCAGTGCTTAAAGGAGGCGGAGCCCCGGCAGCTGGTTGATACCTTGGCGGACCACCGTTGGGGAAGTCCCAATTTCTGTAAGAATAGCAAATGGCATCTCAAAGATTGGGCGCTCGGTTGCACAGCGCTCAAGTTCGCGGTCGAAAGTTCATAGCATTTTGCATTTCCTAGCGTTTTACTGATCCCGTTTAGCCCTTTCCGCCCTTTTCTCCAGTTTCGGTACGAAGACACCCACCCAGTTGGCCAGTGAAAGGGCTAAACACTGATCCATCCATATCCTTGCCACAGTAAAATGCCTTAGCGAACTAATATACGATACAGCAGCCGCCCAAGCGAAATGAAAGTAATATTGTAATCCGACTGAAATGTCCCGATTACAATTGCAAAGTATTATACATTCCCGCTGGAAGTGGACATGCTTCTCCGCAACAAATTGCAAGGTATCTTCAAGCGAAATCAACATCGCGGAAGAGACAATGATCGGGAGAGACGAAAGTTCATTTAATAACCGCTCTTATTGAAAAATACTTAACTCCAGTCAACGACAAGAGAACGCCTCCACGAAGGGGAGGAAACTTGAACGGTCGTTCGGACTCTGTTTCAGACCGTTCTTCTTGCGAAAAGCCTGGTTCTCTTGCAAAAGCTATTCGTGGCATGACCAATTGAAAAAAAGAAAGAAAAAGTAAGAGAAACAAATCGAATGAGCACGCACGCAGGAGGAGAAACGCAGAAACATTTTGTGTGTAAACAAATAGTCTTTACGACTTACGTGCAGAGGCGTATCGAGAGACGCGAGAGGCCGAGCCCCCCGCAGGGTTCCCACTCACCTGGAAAGAACCGGGAGAAAAATTGTGACCATCGGGATAGCAATGAAATGCGTCAACATGCTAATAGTCAACACAGTCAAAAATCACAGAGATCGCGCGTGAAATCGCCGGGGAAAAAATCGAGGAGGAGAGCCGACGCCGCCATTTCTGCGATCTCATGGTAGCTGAAGAGCCGCTGCGGATCAGTCGCACTGCTTTGAACGCGACGGAGTCCGCTCTTCCGACTCTTCCGAGACCGACCGGAGTGAGAACGACGTCGGCCGTCCGAAGATCTAGGCCTATTGAAATAAGATGAGATTGCTCGACAAGTGGGAACCCTGCTCGTGCCAGGCGAGAGAAAGAAAGAAAGAAAGAGAATCATGAGGAGATCAGTATTGACCACCAGATACAGTAAGTGTCGGTATATACTAAAAAAAAAAAACAAGGTGAAGAAAGCATTACGTTTCACAGGAAGCTGGCACTTTACGCTTATCGGCGCCGTTAGGGACTTACTGCGACTCTAGTGATAGGCTAAAGACTTTACTGTGAGGTTCTGTTTTTGAAGGGGTGATATGTTTGTGGTTTCGCCACGATAGGGTGAAACTGTAAAGAAATAAGACGTGATCGATGAAACGACGAGATGACAATGAGAGGAAGAAAAAAAGGAAAAGGAAGAAGAGAGAGAGAGAGAGAGATAGAGAAAGAGCGTGAGAGAGAAAGAGACAGGAACGAAAGAACGTAACGTCGCCACGATGCCACGTTAAACGCGATACAACGCGTTGATAACGTATCATTCTCAGCGCTACGTCTCGATCGAGATGCGTGCGATGTCGGTAACTGCGAGGGGGGAACTCATCTTCGAGGGATAGTAACTGATAATAATGGAATCCTCGTGGTCGAGAGATTGGCTTCACTTACTTGGGCGCCAGGTCGGAATATCGCGAATCGTGGTGTGACGTGCTTTGATGGGCATCGGGGATCCTCTCGCGCTCGCCGTAACCCATCGCCGGCCCGTCGTAGCTCTCGACGTACGCCGCGGGGTGATGATGTCTGCCATGGGAGACGTGCTTCTTGTCGTGGACGCTGCAATTAAAACGGTTCCTTAAAATATTTGCCTGCTCCACGACAGCGGGTCGCTCTCATCATGCGAGTTAGAGACGTAAGGGTGCGACTGTTTCGTACGCTAATAAGCCGCGCGGTGTATCTGTTAAGAACACCTCTGGTTCAGCATTTCCCAGTCCTGTGGTCGCGGAAAACCGCCCCTCTCTTCCCGCCTTTTTTTACATTCGACGAAAGATTCGACGCGAAAAATCTGCGTGCGTGTTTCTTTGCGCTTTACAGATAACTTGAATATCGCCCCTTGGGAAACACTTCTCCGGGTAGTGCGTATTTAACGGCGGAACTCAGCTCGCAGAATGATGAATTACTCACTTCGACACATTGCAGTGTCACCGTAAATTATCGTTTTGTACGATGGATGATGTAGACTGGACGCTAATGGAATTTAGTTGACGCGGGGTTGAATGAGATGGGATAAGATATATTGGATTGGATTTTAGAATGCGAGGATTTCTGATACGCTGACTCACTTCAATTCGCTCCGATTTACTCTGCTGATTGGAGATTTAATAGGAGGACCCGTACTCTCCAAAAGAATTTCTAATCACTATGCGAGCTCAGTATATACAGTTCTACGGTTAAAGAACACTTCCCAGACGATTTTGTAGCCGATACTCAGAGAAAAAGATATAAATGGCAATTATATGTATATGTGACAACTAGGTATAATACAAGGTTTTACATGTAGAATACGTAACAAATTTTATTTTATACAATAGTTTTAATATAACTACATAAATAGTTTATTTAACCTATATATATATATATATATATATATACATATATACATACATATGTATCCATTCTACATGTAAAACTTTTTGAATAAATTATTTTATTGTTGCAAAAAATATAATTCATTCAATGATGTACATGCATTCTATATATAAAACTTGTATAATTGAATAAAATATTTTATAGTTATTGCAATTATGCTTATTCAACTATGTACATTCATTTTACACACAAAACTTGTTATCTACCTATTGTCACCACTATGTTTTTTTTTCTGAGTATGCTTAATCTAAAAAGCCATAATATTCGCATATGTATGTTCCTCCTAGCGAGCTCCTAAGCAGAAAATATCAATGCTACGTTAATAATAATGGTCGAACAAGCGGAAAATAAATCCCAAAACGTTTAACGAAATTCGATATGCAATATATCGTAACATAGAAACGTATATCAGAAGGAAATAGAGTTAGAATCTTAATAAGGAGTGCGTGTTTACATGCAGTCGTAAAAAAATTAAAATATCAGTGACATTCGACGTACACTAGAATGATGAATAGATTTCTCACCATTCAAATGTATGTTCTTCTTTCTTCAAATAATAAGTGTACACGGATGATATCAGAAAAATTTCATGTTACACGAATATTTTTACTTTGTTTGACTATGTAGATATTTGAGTGCCTTATTAAATAGTTACTCAATTATTTAGCGTTTTCGAAAAAAGACAATGTTAAAAACAGATTTTCGAAAATGGCGATAAAGATTATTCAAAGAGTTTATCGCATTGAATATTAAAATAAATATAAATTACATGGAAAATTTACAGAATAATTACAAAATTTTATAGATATTAAACTTTGAGGGAATTTTTAAAGATACACTTAAATTAACATCTCGTATTTCATCTCTTAATATAATATCAATAAAATGTACATACACTATGCACAGTGATATTTTTTGCTAGTAAACAAAAACTATTGACAGTTGATAAAATTAGCATAAATGCTAAAGAATCTTGTAATATGCCATTCGACGAAAAAAACACACTAATTATTTAAATATAATAAATTATCCGGAACTAGTGTCCGCGCGATTCACATCTATCCTTATTCTTATCCTATACATATTTTTATAAACACATAACATCAGCCTATTCTGAATAAACAGAATAGTATTTAATACTTTTCTGCACATCAAATCCGAATCTTTTCTAAAAATTATTTTAGAATAAATTAATATTAAAATTTACTTTAGAATTCCTATTTAATTTAAATAAAAAATTTAATTGTATATCATTTATTATCAGAGAAACAAAATATATATTTAAACAACCATTTAAGTATCTATTTATGTATGTCACTCAAGCGTATTTGTGTGAAAACATTTATATAAGCTGTATCAAAATTATTACCTCTTGTTATGTAACATATGGCCCATTTTCTTTGTTCTTTATAGCGATTAAGAGATATATTTCAAAATAGTGAGATGAATTTGACATGTAAATGACAAAAGATTATTTTTAATTGCCAGAAAGTGAACCACTGCATAATCTATGGTGAAAAACGGGGTGCGGAAAATATCATGTATTGTTCCAAACAACTTGTATCACATAGAGAGTTCTGACGACAAGTTTTATATACACATGCGATACATATCACGGGATACGTGGGACATGCGAGCACACTTTGGCTTTGTCGTGGTATACTTACTGAGCAAGGGGTATGTTATCCCTGTCTGCGTATGCGTCATATAAATATTCACTGTAACGGAGCGTGTTAGCGGTTAGATTCCAACAACCATTCCACACATTAGACAGCTACTTTAAACATAATCTAGACTACCGCGATGAACGTCGGTCTAATTGTAAAAGTAAAACAGATTTTCCATAGTCTCTCTTATTGTGGACCCGCAGTTAGCAAGAGAATACGCGTCCGAGACGTAGTTCGAAAAATTTTGCAAACATCGAAATAGTGCAAATAACTAATAATAGAAATAGTACTGATAGTTTTTGATGGTACAAAATTATCTTCATTGACTGTATGAACAAGAATTGTTAATTAATAATATGTATTAATGTTTAATCGTTATATGAGAAAATTCAAATTAGACACTAGGAGATTACGTATTTTATCTTTGTTTGGAATAGGTAATAAGTTTCCGAGATCGAAAAAATCGATTTCGATCCGAGAGATTCTTTCAGAATTTTCGAAATCGACGGGATTTCTTCGTAAATGAAAGAACGAGGACATGCCGATATCAAAGATGTTACAAAGCGCGAATAAGTACATGCTATGGTATATGGAAGATTGAGAGTAACTACGAAACGGAAATAAAAGAATTAACAGTTTACTACATGAGAGGTGCTCAGGGATTTACTTGAGGCTTGAGAAATGTACGTTGAGGTTCGCAGAGAAAAGAAATAAAAAAAAAGCCTTATCGCCTCCGAAGTTTAACGTATATAATGCGTCTCATTATCTTTTATATTTTACTTCTTTCGGATTCGTAAAACGACACTTGAGACGTTAATCAACGGTTCGGTGACTCATTTTCAATGCATGATCTTGATTAACAATGGATCTACTAAAGACACATTAGTATCTCAAATATCGTCATGCACCATAAATTGGATGAGGAGTCAAAGACAATTAAAGAGACGTCTCTCAGGTCGCAGTCGTGAATTGCTATACATACGGGAAGAGAGTAAAAACTTACGCTTCGACAAGAGGTCCCGGATATGGATCTGACTTTTGATACAGAGCGCTCAGCTTCACACAGAGCACTATCGTTGGTATGAATAGGATCAAGCACCAACCGACGCTTATCCAGAAGCCGTTCTATATATAAATGCAAATAAAATCATGAATATTAATTCTCAGTGAGGTCTGTTTAATTTTGCAACGCTTGCACGATGTCTTAGTTATCGCGTCCGACATGATAATTGTGCTCAGCTTACAAGACTTCTAAAGCAATTAGGAAAAATGGAATTTATAAAAAGTCTGATAGATACGCATAGATTTTTTTTAGATTTATGAATTCGTATATGTAGCGCAAAATGAATACTCACGAATGGATCCAAGATCTTATTACATCCGGCCACGAGCGTTGCGTTATAAGCGTTCGACACGGGCGCACATCTTCCGATTTTGAAAATTGCAGATTCAATGACGTGCTCGAGGAAATTGTCCACTTGATGTAAAAACGCATTGCCAAATTTAGTGGCGAGCTATCAACAATGTTATATTTTAAATTAACATTATAAATAACATTAATGTAACATATATTAATATTGCAAAGTTATATGAGTTAATAAAAAAATAAGACCCACATATTGAACATATTCTGGTCCGTCCTTATTTAGAAATTGCTGCGCCTTGGTAACTTCATCCACTAAATCATGAATGGCATCCGCCATCGAGCTATGATTGAACTTAATGTTTTCCTGAAGCGCCAGTGCGTTCGCACTCAATTGCTCGCTGAGCGTGGCCATGGGCATGACCAAGTCTCTGTGATAATGTTCCAAGTCATGTGCATTCTTTTCGAGGCTGAGCCTGATTTCCTCTTGTCCGTCCGGTAATTTAGCGGAAACCTCCCTTAACTGTTTGGCAAGATGTTCCAAGTTAATGTTCGTGATATTCTCGGCGAGCAGCTCGGCATACTGATAGAACTTAATATCGCTGAGACCGCTCTGCGCTAGATCGTTCAGCTTGGATCTCGCGCTATCCTTTAGGATCACCACACCGGGAGAGAGACTGATCTTCCGTCGCAGCTGTTGGATGGTATCATTGATGTCGTAACGTCCGCCGTAATCGCGCAGACTCTCAACGTCGAACACATTTTTCAGATTCAGCACATTATAAAGCGTCTCGTTCTCGTGGCATTTGCTATAACGGAAAGCAATCAAGAGTCACATAACAGTAAATTTGTTTTTTCTTTAAGACCTGATTTATACAATGCTCTTTTTACTAACAACTAGCGTGTTAGTCTTTTAGCGAACTAGAAAATCAGCAGTTAAAAAATATAATTTTATAAATATTTTTTTAATTGTTAGTTTTCTTAAAAAATATAATTTATAGAATTATTTTTTAAGCTAATTTTCTAATTGCTAGTGAAAAAGCATCAGGCTTTATCAATATGTACATGACAGTTCTATTTTTTAAAATTATTTTATATGGCGCTCATCAAGTAATTTGACAATACAGTTTCATTTTTTACTTGTTATGTAATAAATTATTTATCGTGCAATTTACTTTTGTTGTGTAATAAATTATTGTAATGTAGGGTCAATATGAGTAACAGTGGAATGGGTAACAGTCAATATGGGTTGTGACAGTGAGATGATTGTGACATTAAGATATACATATATGCATAAAAAATAAAATTCTGGTTATTTTTATCACGTAAAAAATGTATTTTTTATATAAAAAAAAAATTTTATCAATTTATAAAAATTGTAAATGTAATAAAATTTTACTTTTTTCTAAAAACGAAGATGTCAGAAACTTAGACTATGAAAGTTTATATGCTTGGATTCAAAGTTCGTCTTAAATAATAATTTTATCGTTTATTAAGTTTTTTAATTATATTTAGAAATTATAAAAGTGATTAATTTACAATAAAAATTATGTCAGTATTCCTTTTTTAAATTTTAAATAACAATTACAAATACTTTACATAATTTATATAATAAATTTATTTTGCGAGATAAATGTAATATTTACAGTTACCTATTTCCTACATGTATTTGACGTGCGAAGACGATTAATAAATCGATTATAATCAATAAAAACATGTAAGTATTAAAAATAATATAATAATTATTTTTACATATTTTTCTAATAATCCAGATAAAAAATCATTTAAATCTAAATCTATGTACATAAATAAATATTATTTATATATATAAATAAATACTATTTAAATTTGAGAGCGCTTTCTATGGTCGAGATTGGATTTTGGTACCTATTTCTAATATTTCTATGTAAATTCTAAATCCATTTTTCAGCTATTTAAACTGCGCGCCGAATTAATGACAGACTTGCAACGTATTATAAGCTAGAATAGTGAAATCACAATTAGATTGATCTTCAATTTTTAACAATACGATGCGAATAAGCATCTTAAAACACTGCGAAAAATTTACGTGGTTTAGTTCAACTTATTATTGATTATTTGTAAATAATTTGTGTATTATTTTTCTTTTGGAATTTAAAGGCTATAATAGAGATTCTCTAGGTCTGATTGTGAGTTCCGTTTTCACAACAACATGGCAGAGCCAATCGGCTCTCCAGAATCCGGGAGTAGGGAGTGATCTCGGAGAGCCGATTAGCTCTGCCATGTTGTTGTGAAAACGAAAGTCAGACGTTGTCTGATCTCTAGCTAGAGGATCTCTAGGATATAATAACTTTTAATTATTGAATATCATTGACATATAGTACTAGATAGAGCATGCGGCAAAACTTCTTTGATCTTTGATCTTGGACTTAGAAAGAGACTTAGATGTGTAAGTACGATCTCTCTTTCTATTTATTGTTCTATTGGTCGAATTTTTGTTTAAGAAAAAAGAGAACAATAACGTATTCTTCCAAGTCAGAAACTGTATTATAAATCTATAAGTATAAATGTATATATAAACGATGATTAAAATTGGAATTATATGTAACATTAATAAATATGTATTTCTTTATGTATTTTATGCAAAAATAATACTCTAAACTCTCAACTCATGCGTAAATAAAATTAATCAAGCCTCAAATAGCCCTTGATCTACATGAGTCGCTATACTCACACTGTCCACACATCTATCTCCTCTTTCTATGTCTGTCAAGATGATTTCAATCCTATCTTCCTACAGTACTATATGTCAATGTTGAATACAATTGTTGTATGAAATTTAATTATTTTTCTTGTATGTTTATTAAAAATAATAAAAAAGTATGAAACCAAAAACACAGAAGATGCAAGATAAATTAAATATTTAAATAAAACCTATATATTATTTTTCTTAAGGCAATGCCAGAGAAAAATCTCTCTGGTGATGCTGACATGACGGAACATTACCGACATATTGCAGTCATAAGGATATCTCCGAATTGACTGAAAATTGAAAACCCTTTTACTGCAGGATTGAAATAGAATGTAGACGCGCCACACACAAATTTGTAATAAAAAAAATTAAAAAATTATATTTTTTTCGAGTCGTATAACTGTTACCTGACATAAGCATTTTATTAGTATAAAAATCTGTAGCTCATATGTACATACAAAATGAATGCAGCGCGCAAATTGGATTACATGAACGAATAATACAAAGTCTTTTGAGCTACGATTGAAAGCGTAGAAAAAATATCCTCTCAACTGCAATTTATGATAATTCGTATTTAGTTATATTGTCTATATTAACTTAAGATATATACGAGAATGGTAAACAGAGCATCAATTGCGTCTAGCAGTAAATAACAAGATTTTGCAAAAGTTGACGCTGCAATATGTTATATAAGGACAAATGTATGCGTTGAGTGAGACAGAACGATATTGTAAAAAAATGATTTGAAGATACCACTATTATCGATATTTTTAGTTTGAAATTAAAGTCTGTTTTATCGACTTCATGCAAGTTTAGCCGTCGTGCCAGCATTCCCTTAAAAGTATATTATTTTGTTTTAAAGAAAATAAATATTTTTTAATATTTTTAAAACGTTTATTTATTCCTTAATAGAAAAATGATTACGATCATTTTTAGTACTGACCTCATATTCATGTCACAATTTCTCTATATACTGTCATAATGACCTCGTATAATGGTGACAAATTACAAAGGTTAACAATTTTTCTTGTATTTAATTGAAATTAAGTATACCGTCTGATTTATGTGTTTGCATTTGAAATACATGATTTTAAGATTTAAATTTTGAAAAAAAAAAAAAAAAAAATTTTTTTTTAAATTAAATAATTACAAAGTTACATAGATACTTGAATTTTGCATTTTTCTGACACAATTATCCATAGTGACTCTAATTGTGTAATAAGCAGTGATAATCTTATTGTAATAATAAATTGCATAATAAAATTATCACTCACGAGAATATAATTTCTCCAGAATTAAGCCAACTTTAAAATGCAGCAAATATTCCATATACATGTATGTACTTACGTCACAATGTAACTCATATTAATGTTCGCATTAGGATTTTTTGGATAAAGTATTCTCTTGATCTGCACGAGCTCGTCGACCAGTTCGAACATCCTGTTGTCTTTTGGATTCTTTAAAGGCTCGCAGATACCACGTTGGGCCATAACGCCTGTTATCATATGAACAACGGTTATAACCATCAATACGCTCGTTAAAATAAAGATAATCCATACGGCCCTGCGATTTGAAACGTTAACAAGTTATTAAAAAGGAAAAGAGAAATGGCAATAACAACTGATTTTGTTCCACATGATTCTAATGACTTTTGCAACCTACATCATAAGAAACCGTGCACCTGACCCCTTATTACAGCAATCATCTCCGTATCCGTCCGGACGCTTTCCGCAAATGCCGCAGAGAAGGCCACACGTTAAACACATCAAGACAGTCAGAAGAATACCGGATATACCAAGACCAAGGTAGTATCTAAAATAAACCATGTGTATTCAAGGACCGCTAGATATCTTCTATAAATTCTATGCCTCGCAATGCATTTATTTCAAATTTATCTCGTCCACGAACCTATAGGGCGAATACTGATTTATATTGTTCTGGGCGACATCTAAATGTCGCATATACACTTTATCTATGTCAATATTTATCCTGTCGATGAGGGCAGTCATATTATTGGCAATGCTCGCCAAGAAGTTACAGGCTCGTCGGATGCTCGCGCTGACCACAGGGATAGTCTGATTAACGGCGTGCTGTATATCCTTCTGAATCTTCAGAAACGAATCTCTGCCCTGGCTCACTTCCGACACTATATTACTCTCCATGAGTATGGTGATGTTATGTAACGCGAATGTAACGTCCGGTAGCTGAAAAGTATCACATCACGACATGCTTTCAATTAACATTAATGAAATCGCTAATAAGATTCATCACGCAGAACAGATTAAATCTTCTTGCAGGATCTGAATATTTCGTGCTAAATGCAACTTCCAAAGGTACAAGACAAGCAATGAAGACATGAAATGTCATTGAATTTCATGGAATCTAATTCTGCGGAACATGGATATATAAATGAAAAGTATACTTAAGAGGATCCTAAAGTCGTCTGTTTCACCGACTAAACGCAATAATTTTTGTACAAGGTTTTCGTGTGTATTTATTGCTTTTACAGATTTGGAAATCCTTTTCCAGAATTAAAATTGTAGATAATAACGAAGTGTGGATAATTTGCAATAATTTCATGCAACAAAAAATTAAAAAGTTTTCAAAAATGACATATTTTGTTATCGATTTTGATCGTCGTAACAATATTTGCTTGATAACATTGATATAACTTGATATACGTTTATACATTTTATACTTTGTATGTACGTATAAAATAAGCTTCTTTCGCACTCGGGATTAAATGAAAGAACAATACTGTGTTTTTACTAATAAACCTAGGTGTTTTAATATAAGAGAAAACTTTGTATGAAAATGCGTATTTATGTATGCGTGCGATGTAGTAGTAAACATTAACACTACTACATCAATATCGCACGCATACATACTCACAAATTGTCGGTAAAACAGCGAATTTTTGGAGTTTGATCTAGGGTTTAGGATCCTCTTAAATATATTAAAATTAGAAATGATCTAGAAAAAATATCCCATATAGCAAAGAACGTTGAAATAACGTTTACAGTTGTTGAGATACGTTGCAATGTTGAATATTAAAGTGCGAATGTTTTTTCAACGTTGAATCTATGTTAAGTTCTCTATATTGATTGTTAATGTTACTCCAACATTGAAATTGAAGTCGATTATCCTAGCTGGAGCAGTACGCGGCACCCGCGGCCATTAGATGGACACAGCGGAGTTTTGTTTTCGTAAATGAAAATCATACAGAATAGAATAAAAGGCGCGACATTATAAGCTTCTTCACGTGTTCTAACAAAATGATTCCCCTTAAAGGCGACCCAAGGGCTCTTAAATGAAAGTAAATAAAATATATTTTGAGAGTATTTTATTTAATTTTGTGTAAAAATTAATTCAGTGACTTAATATTTTTGGAAGTTATATGATATTAAATAAATGTTAAATCAAAGTTCCTGAATGTTAAATTGCATTGTCTTTTCAATATTTCACAGACTGTTGCAGATATTGTAATGAACACTGGACATTTCTGTAATGTCTTTTCAACGTTGAATCTACATTTCGCAATGATGTTGAAACAATATTCATAATATTGCAATTCACCGTTTCTGAGATGTTAATTCAACATTTGTATTCTCTATGGGTTTGACCACAACCCAACGCTGTATTCAATAAAAGTAAAAAGCTACATAAACATACTTTTATACTGCTAAATTCTCTTGTTGCTTTAAAATCGTCTTTCCTTCAATACAATACAATGTCCCACTTTTCGCAAATTATTTTTTGACATCAGATTACTTGAATCATTTTTTCATAATAAAAATATCATGGAAAATAAAATCCTCACTTTCAATAGCGTTACACATCTTTACAATTCCACATTAGAATTATATTATGGCGAATTCATCTGAAATTAGTTAATTGAAGTCTTGTAATTTATTTGGCTCCCTGAAATTTAGGACGCAAAAAGACCTTTATTAAAATATGACTCAAAAATGATCGATGATTCGATATTTTCATTGAGGAAAAATTGTTATATTAACTAAGGAAATTCTACTGTTAGAAAATAATGCACGAAAAATAGGACATTATGTACATAAAATATTCTTCTTAATTATTGTTTTATGTTTTATGTAATAATATAAAATAATTTTCATTCTTATACTCAACAGAAAAATGCAAATAATGAGTAATGTGTTCTCAGAAAAAAATTCAAAATCACGGTAGTGGCTTGGTGTCAAGTGTTAAAAAAAAAAAATATTTAATACATAAAATATACATCCAGTAAATATTTCTAATCGTGCAAATATTTCTACTCGTTTTGCAACTATTTTGCAAAATTAATTGAATAATGCAAATAAACATATTCACATATTTCACAAAACGATATTACACATGAGTAAGGAAACTGCATGCTTTTGCTTACAACTTACAGATGCTAGAAGCTATTTGTGGCAAGCATGGAATCAAATAAATTAATACAGTATCTCTCCCTCGTACACTAATGATCACGCGATATATCAATGACTACAATATTCGATATTAATGAAGATATTTTGCAATAAATTACAATAAAGCGATAATTGCAATTGGTCTACGATATGTCAAAATATTATATTTGAATTACTTGCATCAATATGTGTCATGCATTAATATTTTAACTCTTTCGTGATTCAATTAATCAAAATATTTAGTACTATCAATATAAAAGTGTTATGACGGAGAATTCTTATCAAATCTAATCGCCTCGGTAAGATTCGTGACATTAGTGACTTTATTTTAAAGAAGCCTTATGAGCAAATGAAAGCCAAGGCAAGCCTTGTACAAATCTACTGTTTCAATACATTTAAAAATCACTGTTTCGAATGCACTTAGACCTCGAAATAACATTTGCTTGAAAATAGCAAACGCAATACCGAGATTGTTAAAAAGAAAATTTCATTTCCTCTTTGAATAAATTCTTTACATATATTTCTTTATATATCGAGGTCCGAAGGCATTTTTAATCAATTTCATTGCAAAAAGGTTTCTTTTGTTGTAAAATCATACCTTTGGGAAGTAACGGTCCAAGTACTGCGTATAAACAAGGAAAATGCTCGTAATTAACTATAGATAATTAGCTAAAATAGTATCTATGATAAAAACGACACATCTGCTTACTTTATCGAAGTCCACTTGTACCGACATCTGATTCACTTTGTAGTCGTGCAAAACCCGTTGGCACTTGTCAGTCGTACATGCAGCCAGCGTATGAAGAAGGTTTTTCTTGACGCCACGCACAACTGAAAGAAACCAAATTTACATTAAATTTTCGCTCACTTGGAGACTACTCTTTAACGAAATGCTTTGTTGTAAGAACAGTTTAGGGCAGAGTTCCCCTAACGACGGACCTAATCCCGAATGTTAACTACATATATCTACCTATATTTATTAAATACGATATATCGATATACAGTATAAAATAGCTATATGTTAGCATAGTTAATACTTTTGAGAATTTGTCCAATTATTGAATAGTTAACTAGTATCACACAATATTAGATACATAGTAATTTAACGGAGAAAAAATACAGTTACGAAAAAATTTAAAGACTGCTCTAAAATTATTTATTAAAAATTTTAACCAAATCAAAATAGCTAATTATTACGTTTATATGTTAATGTTTGTAAATTTTTTATATATAAACACTATATTTGTTTGTCTATTAAAAATTTTATACATATAAAAAATTTATTCATATACATAATTTTCATATTTAATGTATAAAATTTAATCAAACTTTGAGCGTGAGTTAATATTTCTTAAAAAACTTATTTCGTGCTTTTTCTAAATATCCAAAAATCATGATGTTTATAGAAATCGAAAAAAATGAAATCAAAGAAACATATTCTACATAACATATTAGTATTACTTAAAGTAAAGTTATTCCAAATTTTATATAAATTTGTTTCAAACAAATGGAAGGAGTAACTTAATTTTTCGCAGTTTATTCTTTCTCTTTTTTTTTCAAGGAAAAAAAATAAGTTGATTGATTTTTCAATTTTAATCAATTAAAAAAAAAATTAGAAAAACCGGCTACGTACCAATGTCCAATTGACTGGCGTTTATCCGCAATTCCTGCGTTATTTTATTCATCAATCTCAGATCCTCCCTGATTGACTCCAAGCCAACAACGATGTCATTCAGATTTGTCAAAGAGACAGCGTGCGAGTATTCCGCCAGTTGTTCCGTGACGATTTTGCCGCTAGCCTGCAGGATATTGTTGAGCGTAACCTCCAGCTCCTCGGGATTAGTCTTGAGCAAATTGTCGATCTCTTGCTTCGTGGTAGTCAAGTAGAGCTTGACATCCTTCAGACTAGTCTTGGCTTTGCACGGAAGTTCTTTGGTTCCTTCCTGCATATACTCGTTCGTCACGAAGGCGCACACCACGCCGAATCTGCAGTTAATTGCCCGTGTGTCTAGGTTTTATTGGAGTAATGAGGTGGTACGGAAATAGAATTTCATTACTGGATTTTATACGAAGACTGCCGTTAAACACATATTTGACATCCTGAATATTAATATCAGTATTTTACAAGAGCGGATTAAATTGCGCGCGGAACGATTAAATTTCGAGGAGATCAGGAACAAGTTAATTACCGCCAGTAAAACTGTGCAACGCGCAATGCATTGATGTATTCATTAGCGCTTCAAGTGAAGAAGCAAGCGCATTTCCGGAATTTTTCGAGTTTTAAAGAATCATAATGATATGCACCAACTATGAAATATTATAGCGAGAGTTTTTATTGTGCCATTTATTTTATTTATCATTTTTGTGTCATTTCTAGTACCGTTGTATAATTAATGAAGTGATGAAGCAAAATTCAATGAATTCAATTAATGTTTTACGTTTAATTTTTTTTTGAGAAGAGAAATATATTTAATTTAATTATTTTCAAAGATTTTTGGGGTAGTTAAATACAAAAGTGAATCAAAACGTAAAATCCCAAGATAGTGAATGCAAAGAATATTTTCAAAGTTCTTATAAATTACAGTGTATTATAAAGTTTTTGAAGGTGCTGAATAATGAAAATGATATTAAAACGTAAAAAAATTCCAAATCACATATTTTATGTGGCGAATGCAAAAAATTTAATGTTTTTGAATGAAAGTTTGTACTGAAACAGTAGCAAAATTTAAATGCAGCTTATAAGCCAAATTTAGAAGATATAACAAAATGTACGATAAGAACTACGTAATAAGATTGATTGAAACGGCCGCAAAATTTAGATACAGCTTGTAAGACAAAATATAGATTGATAAAAATTATGTAATAATTCCAAAATGTTTAGTCTAATCTATACTGCAAATATCAACTAATAGAATTATTATATTCTTTTACAATCGAAAGAACTGGAGAGTTTTATTTATACCTTATACATGGTATAAATGCCATTAAAAAATTAAATTATTCAAGTCGTATTTGAGTGCATGCAAAGATAATGCTGCGTATTAATTAATTCTTTCATCGAGAATTTTTTTTAATACGAGAATTTTTGAATTTTATTACTCAAATAATTTTTTATATCTCAAAACAGCATTTACCACAATATTTGTTTAAGCAAATGAGCCTTTTAAAATAAGTCCTGTTTAATCTTAATATAATCAATGTTTTCCAAAGATACTGTATAATTGTTAAACACATTGGAACATAAATACGAACGCGAAAGTTTAAGAAGTGTATTTTAAATTTATATTCTGGCGGCTCGGTGTCTCTTTCGAAAGAAAAATGGAACTTACAGAATAATAGTGGCGACACCGATCAACACTATGCTAAGCATAATCTTCCTACAGTGATCGTGCTTTTTGTCAAAGGGTTGGCTTCGGGCGCCACAATGGCCCGCGCATCTGCAACAGCAAAAAAAGAGACCCGCGCAGGGGAGAATAGCTGCCAGAATGAGTCCGATCAGTGCGAGACCGGCAAGTCCACCATAATGCGTTACTATTATCTTCCATTCCTTCAATGGATCCGCGAAAGCCGGTGCACCGTCGACCAGAGTGATCAAACCTGCAAGAAAAGCAGATACATGTCTCGCGTTATTTAACAGCCTTTTGCCGGATACGCAATCGTTATCGCGAGACGGGAATTCAATTAAAAGAAACTGGTTCTAGTCGACCGGATTACAAGCTGACTAAATCGTCTTTCACTGTCTGCACTCTGAGGCTGCAGAAAAACAGACCGCGTTACTGCAACCGAGCTGAGAAATGCGGGCAACGCCAATCTCTTGGCAGCAGCAAAATCTGTCTGTAGGAGTCTAAAGCTTGGGGTCAGCGGTTTACATAACTTTCATGTAGAATGGCAAAAGCCGCCGTTCCAAATCACGGGAAAATACGATATTTGCGTTAAGAAGCTTATCGCGAATAGAATCTTGTTATATGAAAAGCAAAATCCCTAATACAGATGTAAACGATTTCATTGTATTTCCGAGGGATGACGTATCGTCGTAAGACAGAATCGATTTTTAAAGAAACGCGTGACGAATCTGCTTTCCAGTCCGGAACAGCTGATAGCCGCGTCCTTCCACGGTGGGGGATAAATAAGGAGGGGAAACCGGGCTAAACGAGGACACGCTGAATGTAGGTCAGAGGTCAGGGTGCCGAAAGGGTTGCTAGGTCGCGACGGAAAACAACGAGGACGGACGGACGGATAGTGAAAATTTATCTGCTGGGTAATGTAACCCAAGGAAATGGGTCAGAACTCCGGTTGGTCGGTCGGTCGGTCGGTCGGTCGGTGCCGTCGGTGGCTGCATTTCAAATTGCTAGCCGTAGCTGAATCGATCTACATCCGGCGATCTTTTGTGCTCTTTTCTACACTCGCATACGCACGCGCGATGTAATCGCGGTCGCGGGTCATAACGAGATCGGGGTGAAACCCAGAAGACTGTCGTGAGTAAAAGAGTGGCTCCCTCTCAGGGACGGGAGATATCATATCCTAAAGCTGTTCCCAGGCAGCACGTCGAAGAGAGTAATGCGCAACGAAACGATCGGGTTAATCCCCGTGGCACGCTCGTCGATCCGAAAAGATAGCACGCTTGATTTTATATAACGAGATCACGTGCAGATCTGCATCGTTCGCTCTAGAAATCGCATTTGTCGCGAATCACTGATTGCGCGTCCGGTGACGCGTGAAAAGATTCCTCTTTCTCTCTCTCTCTCTCTCTCTCTATTCTTATTAGGTTCTTTCTCGGGAAAAACTTGCCCTGGTACTCTTGGCCTACGATGCAAAAATGTATAGTAATAGTAGTTAAATGGGAATTTAATATGCTTGTAAAGTTGGCAGTTCTTAGAACTTCGATGTAATTGATAAAATGCTGACTCTTCTCCGAACAAGTTCTTAATGCGCTTCGAAAAGAACTCTGGCGAAGGAATGGCAAAGTAAAAGATTAGAGTTTAGAATGAATAAAATGCAGAATGCTATTTTCACTGTAAAAACATTAACAATGGTAAATGAACTGAGTTCGTTTTTGGTCACTGACTGTAGAAAACTGCATAGAACTCGAAACTAGTTTTAGTTAGAAATGCACATAAGAAATTCAATTGAAGAATTTCCCAGAAGAATTAAATAGGTCCATTAAAAAAAGTAGGTTATTGTTTCTTATCATGATAGAGAACGATTTGGCGCCATAATCCAGTTTTCTTTTAAATTGACTTATTTGGTTCTTGTGGGAAACTCTTCAACTGAAAGAAGAAATAAGAAACATAATTGTTGTTGTACAAGCATCTGTAAGCTCGTATTAAATTTTATTTATTGCAGTTATAAAAGAATCAATTATGATTTATTTCATTGCAAACGTAGTAGAAAATTTATGACAGTAGTTGTAGCATAAAATATCTCGGCAATAGAAAAGCGTAGATTTCTAATAGAATTATGAAATTATTTGAATGAAAAAGGAGATATTAGCTTTTAGCATACCGGTTTTGATTGATTTAGTAAAACGGTCAAATGAATTCGGCCAAATATTCGCCTAATTGGAATTGCACATCTCTACGCCAGTCTCCGTGATTCTCTCGAAAGCGCAGTTCGTTTGCAGATTGTTGAATCAAAGCGAAGGCCGCTGTCAATCAGGTTTCATGAATCGTGGACACGGGGAGAGTTTCGAGGACAACGCTAGTCGTTAGTTAGTGTAATAGATAGTGGTAGTAGCGACAGAAAGAACGGGTCATGATTGAACGTTGCACTCGTTAGGGGGCATATATACAAAATGTGAAAACTTGACCGAGAACTATTATTTCATGTCACTATCGAGAGCGTGCCTTTAACTAAAAATTGAGATTTTGAATTTGGAGATTACTTCGATAATGTCAAGCATAAAATTAATGGAAAAAGAATTTTGTTGCTATTTAGGTTCTTGAAGCTCGTTGATCACTGTATATGCCTATAAATAAAGCGTGTCAGACTTCACTATGACAAGCAGGGCAGTGCAGAGATGCGTTTTATAGGAGGCGGCAAAATCTATAATCCGTTTTTGACGCGGAAAAGGACATTAATGACGTTGTCGCGTGCAATGACCGTCTGATAAAAAAAGAGTGCTTCGTCGTTGAGATTGCACAAATAAAGCCGCTACGATCCTAGTTTTAGACTAGTTAATGGTCTTCGTTCCGATTTCTGTAAACAATTCTGAATTCGTTGGGAAATATCTCTTCATGCGTTTGACCCTTCAGGCGTACGCTAGTACGCTAGGTGAATAATCGTAACAGAGACAACGCTGCAAAAATGTGTATATTTTCAACATGTTCCAATGCGTTCCAACATTGTTACGTAAAAGCATAACATAGCTGTATTCGTTGCAGAGTCCTATTACACAACCGGATCTTTCTCGGGGCTGCATATTAAATTTTTGGTCGATTCGCAGAAGACACCACACAGAAATATGCCGGAAACGTGTTACGCTCGACAAGATGCATACCTCTCGCCTCCGAATTTCGTGAAACTGGGTCGCCACGATTCGGCATGAGAAACGACCACTCGGAGAATTTGTCCTCGTTTGCGAGGAAACGACTTAGTTCTTGGTTCTACTTATTCTCGCTTCTCGGGAACAATAAACGATCTTTCCTCTGTTTAGGTTTACTAGACCTAAATGGTTTATACAGCGATCTATTCGCAGTCTATTAGTGATCTGCGTTTTAACAAGACGTCCAAACGTATAAAAATACTGTATTTTTGCACGTTTAATTTGCAGAAGAATTGGTAATGTTTTTAACAATACCAATCGAAATAAGGGATCAAAGCATCTGCAAAGTGAATATTCACATCGGCAAACGAACGAACGAACGAACCGGTGCAATCGTGAACCTCACGGCAGACTCACTGTCGTGCAGGTAAGGGTTTCGATCGATTTCCCGCAGTCATTGACCTCCATGGTTACGTTAATGCCGCCAGTGCCGCCGCCGCCGCATGAACTCAAGTTGCGGTCTTTTTACAGCTCCCACGTTACTAGGTGCAATGATTCCGCTTGAAACCGTGAATCCTTTTCCACCAAATAAAGAAACGAAGACGTTCATTGATGATCGCAATCTTCTGTTCCGCACTTTTTTCTTCTCAAAATAATCGAGTGTTAATCGACTGTTAATGTGTCATTAAAAAGGAATCGCGCAACTAGAAGTTCGTCAATAATAGTTTCTAATCGCCAGAGTTAAAAGTAGGATGATAAAATTAAACAACAGTTTCAATTTCTTTAGCGCGAAAAGACATCGCAAAATAATCGATGCGCTAGTTTAAAACGCCCATCTCGGCTCTATTATCGTGACTTTTCAGCCGATAATCTCAACGGAGATTTCCGCCATGCTAATGAAGAAATCCATTACCTATCAAGGCATGGCAAATATTAATATATCGAATATTCTGATTGAATGTCCCGATCGAAATTATTTCTTTCGGCGTAGACAATGAGCCAATAACGCTATACTTTGTTATGCTATAGGTACGTACGTTATAGTTCTGAGATGTGCAGAGCTTTGTATAGTAAATATAAAGTAACGTCCGGTTCTCGAAATCAGAGAGATGCGATTGAATTAATTATCGCTATAATTCTCATTTCATCGATGAGCAGCGTTTTAACCGGAAATAATGTTTGCGCGATACAATTAAATAACGATTAGCTATGTTGCACCATTGGCTTCTATTTGTACGAGTTTCCCATAATGAAGTCACTCAGGAGCTTTTTGTAAAGCCTTGATATCTGCAACAACCGAGACTGATCTATCAGGGAGCAATTAAGCGAATAAGAGAATGCTGCGACCAAATTAGCAATCAATCCATGCCTGAGTTGCTGGCTCGCGTTAATGCAAATGTACCGCGCGACATTAATTAGATTAGGAGCCAGAAGGTAGCACCTGAAAACAGAGAGTGTCTCGTGGGAATTTCGTATTCGCGAATGCCTTCATCATTTATGTAGACGCTATTAGTCGAATTCGATCTTAGTGACACAGAAGTCGTGGTAAACGATATAAAAGAAAGCTGAGGATATACTGAGAAAAAAAGTTGTAATTACTATCTAACTATAATATTTAATTATTTTTATTTAATTTGTAGTCATTTTTGATGCTAACTATACATTTATATATTAGTTGTTCTAACCATGCGAATTATAGCTGCTTGCATTACAATTATTACAACTATGATATGCATCTACGCAACTATATTGTGAAAGTAAAAGTTGTTCCTTTATTTTGCAACTATATCGTAAATTTTTCTTATTTTCTTACACTTTTTTAGTTATTATTATCACGTAAAGGAGAAGCAAACAGTTAAGAGAATAGTTATAGTCATTATAATTATAATTACATTATAATTACATTTATTACATAAAAAAAAGTTAATTTTATTTATTAATATAGTCACTATAATTGCGAAACATTTTTATGTAGTAAAT